GCGAAGACGTTAATTACAAAAAACCTGTTTTAATGTTTAAAAATTACTGGTTGAGTTTCAGCTGATGCTTATGGTTTCAATATATAACAACTGTCCCTTCATGAGGATGTCTCGTGGTCATGACTGAAATATTTTGGGAGTCAAGGAATTCAAGCTTAACTCAGCTTTATATCAATCGAGCGTGATTGACGCTGAATGATTCTTACGGGTTAGTGTCTAGTATAGTTATTTATGTAATATAATTGAAGTTTTATTAATTTATTAAAATTTATTATTTAATACTTTTAAGGAGGATAAAAGTTCACGATTGATGTGGGCAAATTTAAATATTTTTTTTATTTAAAAACTTGAGTATTTAATGTAACTTTTAAAAAAAGAAGGAAGAATATTTAATTTTTGGGTGTTTTTTTAAAAAAAAATGGGCCCCCCAAAAAGGCCCCCCCAAAAAAAGGAAATTTTAAAGGGTTTTGGAAGTTAAAATTGGGGGAAAAAAAAAATGACATAAAATTTTCGAAATAAAAGGGGGTTTTAAAAAAAAGTGAAAGTGTTCCAAATTGCAAAAGGGTTTTAAATAAAAGAGAAAATAAAGAAAAAAAATTTTTTTGGGGTTTTTAAAGTTTAAAATGGGGTGGATGTAGTGCGGAGAAAGAAAAAATTGTTGTGATTTTATGAAGAAAAGATTTGGGTGTCCGGGGCCCTAAGGAAACAAAGCGAAAGGTGGGAGAGTTTCATGGGGGGAAATAAATGGAAAAAATCGGGAGTATCTGGGAGTTAGAGAAAAGGAAGGGGTAGCAGTAAGTTAAATGATCATTTATGAAAGAAAAGAGAATATGAAGTGTAATTCAAGAATTTAGTGGATTAAAAAAGGGGTTGGATGCGAAAAGGGGGTCAAATAAGCTGTATGACCTGGAAAAGAAGGAATGAAAGGGGAAGGAGAGATTTTGGGGTTTTAATAATGTATAACCTTTTAAACCCAATGGGGAATAATTGGGGTAGGGGACTTAAAAGTTAAAGTGGGAGAAACTTTTAGGGGGTGGGGGTGGGTAATTTTGGGGGTCAGGTGTAAATGAAAATGGAAAACCCCTTTGTTTAAAACTTTGATAAAAAGGGGGTTTATTTATGGTAATAATTTTTTAAAAAAAAGAGGATAAATAGTATCACAAATTTTTGATGTGGGGCAAATGACAGTTTTTTTGGGTTATTTTTGGTAGATAAAAGACGTTGAGAAATTCGGGATGTAAGTTTATAGGGGGCCCAAGATATATCAGACCCTTTTAGTTGTACTACCTGAAGAAAGGTAGAGGGGATAAAAGGAGAATAAAGCATGGGGAAAGAGGGGTAAAGGGTTTAAAAATAAAAGAGGAGGCATTAGGGAAGTATAAACAGCTTTGGGGATAGAGGGGCAAATGAGAGATGAAATGGGTCGAAAGGTATGGGGTGGGTTTTAAAAAGTAGGTTAGGTTTTCGCAGAAGTTTGTGGTTGGGAAAAAGTGGGGCAGGGGGGAAAGGACGATTGGTGGAATTGATTAAAGGAGTAGAAAGGAGAAAAAGTTGCATAGGGAAAGTTTTTACAAAGTAAAGTGATGCAAGGAGGAAATAAGGGAAAAAAGAAGGGGTTAAGGAATGGTGAAGAAATAAAAAAAGAAGCAAATGGGAGGGGTAAATGTTATCAAAAAATTTTGTTAAAATAAAAAAAATTTTTGGGTGAGTTTAACAAGTTAAAAAGCCCAAGAACAAAGGATTTTTTAAAAATAGGAGAGGGGAGTTATTAAATGGGGATTAGAGGTTTGGAAATGGAAGGAATATTTTTAGGAAATTTTTAAATGTTATGAAGATAGGGAAACTGTGATTTCGTGTATAGGGGGAAAGGGGGAATAACATCTTGGAGTGAGGAAGAGCCCTTGTGATGGGGGGGAATTTGTGGGGCAGTAGGTAAAAAAGAAAGGGGGTAAGGCAGCCGGGGTTATGGGGTAAAATAAAAAGTTAAAAAACAGGTGGGATATGTTTTGGGGGGTTGGTGCAATTTTTTAATAAATGTATGGAAAAGGGGGAAGTACCTAGGGTTGGGAAGAGCAGCATAGTTCCTTTTATAAAGGAAAGGGGGTAAAGAGAGTCAAAATTATGGGGGATAGTCTGTTGAGTGACCTGGGAAAGTGATGGTAGGTTAAATTGAAAAAATTAGAGTAAGACGGGGATAGGACAGATGAACAAAAAAGGGGTTTTGGAAAGGGGGGGTTGTGGACCCCGGTGTTTACAGTGAAACATTTTTAAAGGGAACATATTTAGATAGGCTAAAAAGGGGCTTTGTGGATTTATGGATTTTGGGAAAAAGGGGATGACAGGGGGGATAGGGGGGGAAAGTGGCAGATGTTGCAAATGTTGTGTAGGAGGGGGTTTGAAAGCGGAAAAGTTTTTACGAGGTAGTGGGGTCAAATTAGAGTTGTAGGAAAAAGGGGAAATTTTTTCCAGAAAATAGGGCCCTTAAAAAGGGTTGTGATTCACCGTGGGTTTTTAATAATTTATAGTGGGGGTTTTAAGAGAAGTAAATGCGAGGGTTTGGCAAAAGGGTGGATTAAAAGAAAAAGAAACACCACAAAGTGGAGTTTTCACAGCTTCTTTGCATGCACGTGCTTTGGGGGATTCTGAAGAAATTCAGAGATTGGTATATTTGGGTTTGTGTCAAAAAAAAAGAAAAATTAAAGGGGGGAAAACAGGAAAGGTAAAGGGTTTTGAGGAAACAAAAAATTATGATAAAGATTGAAAATCAAATTGAGGGGGGAAAAGGGATGGAGGAGGTAACGTATTTAATATTTGGGGGTGGACGTGTCAGCGGATGGGCTATGAAAGATGAGGTGAAACATGAAATTTATGGGGAAAAAGAGTATGTCACTTGGGGTTTTGTGGGGGAAAAAGAACTTTGTCCCCGGAGGGAAAGAGGGGAATGTATGAGAGTATTTTTACCAACGCTCTTATATGGGTGTGAAGCGTGGGTGATGAATGTTGCAGCGAGGAGAAGGCTGGAGGCAGTGGAGATGTCATGTCTGAGGGCAATTGTGGGTGTGAATATAATGCAGGAATCGTAGTTTGGAAGTTAGGAGGAGGTGCTGGATTACCAAAACTGTTGTCCAAGGGCTGAGGAAGGGTTGTTGAGGTGGTTCGGACATGTAGAGAGAATGGAGCGAAACAGAATGACTTCAAGAGTGTATCAGTCTGTAGTGGAAGGAAGGCGGGGTAGGGGTCGGCCTAGGAAGGTTGGAGGGAGGGGGTAAAGGAGGTTTTGTGTGCGAGGGGCTTGGACTTCCAGCAGGCATGCTTGAGCGTGTTTGATAGGAGTGAATGGAGACAAATGGTTTTTAATACTTGACGTGCTGTTGGAGTGTGAGCAAAGTAACATTTATGAAGGGATTCAGGGAAACCGGCAGGCCGGACTTGAGTCCTGGAGATGGGAAGTACAGTGCCTGCACTTGAAGGAGGGGTGTTAATGTTGCAGTTTAAAAACTGTGTGTTGTAAGCACCCTTCTGGCAAGCAGTGATGGAGTGAATGATGGTGAAAGTTTTTCTTTTTCGGGCCACCCTGCCTTGGTGGGAATCGGCCGGTGTGAAATAAAAAAAAAATAATATATATATATATATATATATATAATATATATATATATATATATATTATATATATATATATATATATATATATATATATATATAATACCGGTTTATACACATACATATGCATACATGTATGTATACATGTTATCTGCAGAATTTCTGTTTCATCATTGCAATCTTTAAACATGAATATTCACTAATGAAAGTCATATAAAAGCCTTAAGGTCAAAATCTAATAGAACTGAGTATCAAAGTGTATTTCTGAATTACCTGTATATATGCAAGAATGTTCTTTTGTGAAATGCAGTAAGTCCATTAGTTGATTTTTTTTCAGTATGGTGGCCCTGAGACCAAGGGATATACAAAAATACATAATCTTGGTATCCCTCATGATTCTACAGGGACACGATGCAATGGGGGATAACTTCTGTTACATGGGAGATATATTTATAGCATATCTACTTAACCATTTTTATGCATAGAAGTGTAAGATTTCATTCTATTAATATAAACGATATTAAAGCCATTTTTTCGTGTTTCGATTTCCCTGCGAAGCGTTTATATTACAGAAAAACCTGTTTTAATGTTTAAAAATTTTAAAAATTACTGGTTGAGTTGTCAGCTGATGCTTTGGTTCATATATAACAACTTGTCCCTTCATGAGGATGTGTCTCGGTGGTCATACTGAAATATTTGTGAGTCAAGGAATTCAAGCTACTCTCAGCCTTTATATCTATCGAGCGTGATTGACGCTGAATGATTCTTACGGGTTTAGTGTCTATTATTATTATTATTATTATTATTATTATTATTATTATTATTATTATTATTATTATTATTATTATTATTAACTGAGGCGTGGTTGATAATGGTGTGGATGAGAAAGATGAGGCATCAGGTGATGTGGTCAATATTTAGTACAGCTGTTCAGATTTCAACTTGAATATGGGCTTCTATGTAAATTCTCCAAAATAAATTGAATTGCGTAATGGAGATATTTATATTTTGGGCCCATGTGTTCTGTTTTGGAAAACCAAATATGGCCCAGTCTAAAGCGCCCTAATCTAGAAAAGGAGTAATTTTAGGTTACATTTGGGTTACGGCAAGTTAGATTTGGTAAAAAAAAAAATAGTACACTCAAAATACGTCTCCTACAGCCCACCTAACATCTGGAGATTTTGCATAATGAAAAGTGAACAGCTGTTCCAAATATTGACTAATGATGTGAGGTGTAACATATAAACCTGAGACACATCAAAGAAAACACAATTTTTATTGCGGCGACTTTTCGATTTGTTTACATCTTGATTGCACAGTTGAATATGACCAACACTTCGCCTCAGCATATCACAACTTCGTTCATCACTCGTCATTAAAAGATGGTCCGGATTCAGGTCATTAACATGTTTTATAGTCAGTAACTTTGTAAGACATGATAGATACAAAGGTTCTGAAAATGCAAAGGGCGACACTTCCTACAGCGCCTACGTCAAGTCCTGCTGCGTTACCGTTGCAGGGGTGCAGGAGTATGAGAGCTCAGGATAGGTAGTATGACCAGTAGACGAGGTTACAGAAGAAGAAGATCAAGGGTATGCCTATCTTGCCTACATTCTCCACCAGCTGTAGATGCCACACCAGGGAGATGGGTGCCATCCGCTTCTCCGGTTCGTACATAGCGGTTGAGTCCTGCCCACCTTCTCCTGCTGACAACGGCGACGAAGTTGTCGAGGATTCGCGTCGTGTTGTAACGTTCCCGAGGGGGATTGAAGTGTTGTGTCGTACACACTGACCATTCTACAACATCCAAAACACACACATTACTTGTTAACAGTAACCTGATACCGAGAAACTGGAAAAAGGACACTTGTATACGGTCCTGAATATTTATTAGGGGAAAAACCACTCGTCGTAAATCGTTTCCTTTAATAAATATTCAGAACTGTACATAAATATCCTTTTGAAACTGTATCACACACGTTGACCGCTCTACGACATGTATACACTGACCGCTCTACGACATATATACACTGACCGCTCTACGACATGTATACACTGACCGCTCTACGACATGTATACACTGACTGCTCTACATATTTTTGTATTCATTTGTCATTTATACACTGATGCTTCAGGAAAGCAGTACTATTGTGTCGTTGCTGGGCTCTTAATCCAAGAACTGGTGTTACCCTCCCTTTCCTTGGATCAAACCTAATTACGCTCCATTCCCTAGGCAATGAATAACCCCTATGGATTTAACGATTCCCCAGAATACTGTGGTAAACTAACCCCATAGGGGTTAGTTTACCACATTAGGGGTTAGATTATTCAGTTTACCACAGTTTACCACATTAGGGGTTAGTTTATTCAGTGCCTAGACAATGGAAGGTAATCAAATTTGATCCAAGGAAAGGGAGGGTAACACCATTTCTTAGATCAAGAGCCCAACAAGACACAATAGTACTGCTTAGAAAATAATGTAGTTATTATATTAGACAATGTAGTTATTATATTAAACAATGTAGTTATTATATTAAACAATGGTAGTTATTATATTAAACAATGTAGTTATTATATTAAACAAGGTAGTTATTATATTAATCTTGATGACAGTATAATGAAATAAACGTAATTCAGTCAAACTTAAACAGGAACACAGACGAGCCACTGTGCTGGGAAGACTCACCATGGGAGCCACACAGTTCACTCTCAGCTCTTTTTCTTTTCTCTGAATTCTGGAAAACAAAATTTGCTACTGCTAGTTCATGCACTTGAGTTAGGTCGGGCAACAGAAAAAAATATTTTCTTAAATTTTCACGAAACATTACGAGCTACAATGCACAACCCATTTAATGTTGAAGAATTTAGAAAAAAAAAGGAAGAATATTCATTATTTACTCCTTATTGGGTTGTCAAAAGTTAATTTACACATAAGTGACTATATAAGACAACTAAAAAAAATTAATTTTGTGTATGAACCCGAATATAAGCTTACGTACTTGTGAGTTTAATGAGTAACTTACGTAATTACAACAGCATACTGGAATAAGGTCAGTACCACATGAACGATACACATAAACAACCAGACGTCCACTGCTTTTATGTAGCTCGTCTCTGGGCTTTTATACCTGGTGAAAAAAAAAATAGATAGTGTTAAAAGAATAATGATAGCTAGAAACTGTAAAAAGTGACTTGTAAAGATTTGTGGAGTTTGTCCCATACATTAAAGAAGATAATATTCTCCTGGTAATAAATGATTTCCAGTCGACCTTTTGTGGGTTATTTCCTGAAGGGTCTTTGAAATAAGTTGAGATAATAGTAGTTCTTAGCCTGTAAACTGAGCTGTTTAGAAATGAAGAGAGAGCTATCTCAACAGGCGCACACTAACAATGGAGAGAGCCAAGTGCTTTACTATGGACGCAGTCTTGACTCAAGGACGTAATTATGTAAGCTGCTTAATGAGCAAATTAACGAGTCATCTTATCATTAAGACCCTCGGCAGGTAACTCTAAACATCGTCTAGCTAGTTTCCAGACAAGTCATCGGGGAGTAACCAACGTAGTAAATGCTATTTAGAGTCATTATTCATATCTACCTCCAACACCATAACTTAGAATACAGGGATTTTCTCTATATCCGAAATCTATACGCAACGCATTCTATTCAATTAGGACAGAGCCATCACTTAGCTCGGCCCTGCTATGTACCTTACCTCTGCTACTATATGCACTACTTATCCTTTTTTCCCTCTGGATCAAAAAAAACCCTTGGCGGAAGACTCATCATTGTATACGTGACTTTTTACATCAAAGACGTGCATCAAGGAGAGAGGAAGGGCGCCATCATGTGAGTTCCTTTTTATCAACCAAATACATTTTTATCCGGGCTTTATTTTACATTAGGCTGGTTGGAGGAAATTGACAGTACCTTCAACAATACCCACACATCACGAGGAAGGAGACTCCACACTTCCTCAAAGCTCCCTTCACAATCGCAGTCGTGTGACACCACGTCAGGTAAAGTAGGCAGATTTTAACGTTGGTCATCTTGTATTTTTGATGAAGGAAGTGTCAGGAAACGCCTCTAATAACTAGAGGTGAAAAGATCGAAATTTTTATCTTCGTTGTGAGCAACCCGAACGATATTGCCGTTGAATTTACAGATAATTCTCTCCCTTTTTCCATACAGTCCACAAACTTAAATTGAATTTATTGGTATTGTAATTTAAATACAATATTTCACGGAGTTTACTGAAATTGTGTGATTGATAGACGTCCTTGTGAGAGGATACTGAGGTCAACAAAAGACGCGGAGCTACCATGGGTCACCTCCGTCAGTACCGGGAGACATTCACAAGGTAAGTAAAATTTAACAGCAACCTAACTGCTAGGTTACTAGGTTACTAGGCTCTATCAAAGAACACATAGTGTCCCGTCCATCATGCAGTGCCCCCCCCCTGCACATATTTTCACCACAATATCATAAAATGCAATCCAGACACAAGATCCACTATTCCAGACAGACACAAGATCCACTATTCCAGACAGACAAAAGGCCCACTGTTCCAGACAGACACAAGACCCACTGTTCCAGACAGACGCAAGACCCACTGTTCCAGGCAGACACAAGACCCCTATTCCAGACAGACACAAGACCCACTATTCCAGACAGGCACAAGACCCGCTGTTCCAGACAGATACAAGGCCCCCTGCTCCAGACAGACACAAGACCCACTATTACAGACAGACACAAGACCCACTATTCCAGACAGACACAAGACTCGCTGTTCCAGACAGACACAAGACCCCACCATTCCCAACAATCTCAAGGATCCATCACACAAGCAATGTACAACCTCAAGCCACCAGCTTATTTACCTGGAATATATTTGCCCATCCCTTCCTTGGACAGAACCAGATTGCCTCCTATTTCCTAGGTGCTGTATGACCTCTACTGGTTTAGCGCTTCCCGTGAATACAGTAATAATATTCACCTCGTATCCCTCATGTGAACGGAAGTCAAAAGACTTCAGAAACACATGATGGGTTTGGTGATAAGTCCTTTTCTGATACAACGTTTCATCCATGAGTGGACTTTATCCTTTATATAAAACGTTATTCCAATAAAGGCTACAGTGCTGTTATTTATTTTTCAATCCTTGTCAGCGTTATGCCTCTAGTTTGCATTACAGTGGGTCTACCAGTGCATAAGGCAGAAATTTCTAGCCTCACGAAAGCCACCGATGAATAAGTACAGTATTCTTCAGACTATTGTCCCGCAACCCATTTCAGTAATATCACATGCCCCTCACGACCCCAGTCCTTTGTTTAGTCTTAGAAAAAATCACGCCATGCAGAAAACTCACCCGATGGCAGCATACATAGAGATGACCGTGAGGAGAGACGTGATGATGAGCACAGTGCGGCCAGGGATCACATCAGGAGGCCAGAAGAAGGACGCCCAAGCCACCGCCACGAACAGTGCAGAGGGAACGTACACGGTCAGCACGTGGAGGCCATACCGACGAACTAGTATAATCCGTGCTTGTCCCATTGATGAAGGAGCTGCAGAGTAGGGAGAAACATGTGGTAAGGAGATGGGGGATGGGGGGGAAAGATAAGCTTTATTCAAAGTGAAGACACGCTGCAGGACAAGTTTTAATGGGGACAATGTTTGGCAGTCGTCAACCATAAGCCATTTCATCCAACTGTTTTCCAGATTCACTACACGTAGCATTGCAGACTGTTATACATTTACACAATGGTTATAACAACACATCATTGTTACAGGCGTTCCTCCCAGCCGACAGTCCAATATTTCTACTAAAATTAAAATATATAAGGTTAAAAAAACTTAATTACAAGCAGAAGTGCTTAAAATTATATTTAAGTTAAAAAGTTGTAAAATATTACCGAAGGAGCAGTTGGAGCACCAGTATTTGGTGGAGATGTTGTCCCACTCAAGACTGAATTCGTAGTTGGGGAGCTGGTTACTGATGCCTGGGTCAGCCGACACCTCTTCGGCTAGCCACTCCAGGCGCAGTGTGTCCTCATCGAACTTGTCTGGAATGAATTTTGACATCGTTATCGCCAACAACAAAATTCACGATGACACTTCAAAATATAACAAACTGTGCATGAGTTAAACAAAATACTACATGCAGACAGAAACAGTATATATCGACCTCTGCTGAAGATTTCAAATGGAGAGCGAAATACAGTCTTTTCTACATGTGGGATTCCTCGATTCATTAAAATTCAAGTTAATTGTAAATCTCATGAAGTGATAATCGCTATTAAATAGGTTTTACTTAGCTAGCATGAATGCATTATATCCCTGTGTACTGCTAGAACTAAACCTAATATAATTTCATTTCACTAAGAGTGAAAGAAGAAGGAAAGAAGGAAGAAAGAAAGAAAGGAAGGAAGGATGGAACGGCGAAAGGAAGTCGCCCTAGCCCCTCAGAGAACACACGGAGTCACTTACAAGAGGTAACAGTCATCAGACACCCCTGTACGTCGAACGGGTACTTTGAGAAGAACATAGGACAAGCCAGCGATATCTGTAACCTAGGAAATAAAATTCCAAATTACTCCTTAAATTACAAAATAAAAACCTTCTTTACTAAGAATTTCAGACTAATGTGATATCAGTCCAATAGTCGTATGGAGACATGCAAGTTCACGGATCTTTTATTGACGACGTTTTGCCCATGTAGTTATTTTTAATAAACTGCATAATTATAACCACTGTGTGGGCGAAACGTAGCCAATAAAGAAACCATATAACTATTTATGTCTCACTATCGTGTCCGTCTCTTAGAATTACATACACACGAAAGCTTTTCTTTTTACATTCAGTAATATATGCAGGAGAAGTGGTTACTAGCTTCTTGCTCCCAGCATTTTAGTCGCCTCTTACTACACGCATGGCTTACGGAGGAAGAATTCTTTTCCACTTCCCCGTGGATAACACCGTCATTTATCCTTCATTTACTTTATTTCTTCTTCAGGAGACTTTATTATTCCTACTTTCATCAGCAGCAATAAAATAATATTAACTTTACAAAGTAATGTTTATCTTATTAACGAAACTCTCAATAGATTTCGTAAACATTAATTACTATACTAATTTATTAGTTATTAATGGTGAACTTTCATCAAGACGGGTGGTGGTGCAGGGCTCATGATCCAAGAAAATGGAGGTGCCCTTCCTAGGATCAAGCCCAACTACTGCCATTCTCCAGGCTCTGTGACTCTTACATGTTTAGCGCTTCCCCGTGAAAAGTAAACATATACAAGTAGTGTAGATTATTATTACTTTTATTAGTAACAGTAGTTTATTATTATGATGATTATTATTGTTATTATTATCATTCAACAAGAAGCGTTAAATGCGTGGGAGTTACACATCGTCTGAAGGCAATAAGATTTGATCTGACGAAAGGGAGAGTAGCTCCAATTCCTCGGATGAAGAGCAATTAAGGAATAAGTATCAATGAGGGAGACTGACAGCGTGGACAGGAAGATGGTATTAGGTGGACGTAGATATACGCCTTGGACCTCCTGGATCATCTTAAAGGACTTGATATCCCTGGCCTCGTGGATGAAGAGGTCAGGTATCCACACGTGCTTGGTGAGATCAGAGTGCAGGGGCACCATGCCCTCCCCGGGGGCGTCTACCCTGGGCACGCCCACAAGCCGGGGTTCCGCCCACGACATGCGAAAGTACATGGAGAGGAGCACAGACTGTCCAACACATGAGAGGGGAAAAAAATGTTAGCGTTTATGTGAAGGGATGATAATGATCCAATGAATCAGAGTTACGCTCCTCTTCCTGGGATCAAAACTACCAATCATTGACAGAATTTGAGATAAATATAGACAAGCTCCTTGTGTTTTTAATACAAATTCTCAATTATTAAGTGAGTTGTTCAGTGGATGCAATTACATCTTAGGCCTATAAGCAATTTTTTTTAATCGAAAAAACTAACCCAACGAAACTTAACCAATAATTTAACTCCTAAACTACATTAGATTTGGTGATTTTTTGGTAAGAGTAGGCAACCAGCATGAATCTTTCTCCCATAGGCCTAAAATATCACCTTCAGAATTGCACAACCCACTTAATATTGAACAACATTCATGATAAACTATTACTAAGCTAAAACAAGAAACACTCGCCTTTATGTTACCACAAAAAACTTGATATAAAATATTTAGTTAGCAAGACTACTATGTTTTGTTCGTGACTATGTTCGTGACTATGTTCGTGACTATGTTCCTGACTATGTTGGTGACTATGTTGGTGACTATGTTCCTGACTATGTTCCTGACTATATTCCTGACTATGTTCCTGACTATGTTCCTGACTATGTTCGTGACTATGTTCGTGACTATGTTCGTGACTATGTTGCTGACTATGTTCCTGACTATGTTCGTGACTATGTTCGTGACTATGTTCGTGACTATGTTCGTGACTATGTTCGTGACTATGTTCGTGACTATGTTCGTGACTATGTTCCTGACTATGTTCCTGACTATGTTCCTGACTATGTTGGTGACTATGTTCGTGACTATGTTCGTGACTATGTTCGTGACTATGTTCGTGACTATGTTCGTGACTATGTTCGTGACTATGTTCGTGACTATGTTCGTGACTATGTTCGTGACTATGTTCGTGACTATGTTCGTGACTATGTTCTTGACTATGTTCGTGACTATGTTCGTGACTATGTTCGTGACTATGTTCGTGACTATGTTCGTGACTATGTTCGTGACTATGTCGTGACTATGTTCGTGACTGTGTTCGTGACTATGTTCGTGACTATGTTCGTGACTATGTTCGTGACTATGTTCGTGACTATGTTCGTGACTATGTTCGTGACTATGTTCGTGACTATGTTCGTGACTATGTTCGTGACTATGTTCGTGACTATGTTCGTGACTATGTTCGTGACTGTGTTCGTGACTATGTTCGTGACTATGTTCGTGACTATGTTCCTGACTATGTTCGTGACTATGTTCGTAACTATGTTCGTGACTATGTTCGTGACTATGTTCGTGACTATGTTCGTGACTATGTTCGTGACTATGTTCGTGACTATGTTCGTGACTATGTTGGACATGTTCGTGACTATGTTCGTGACTATGTTCGTGACTATGTTCGTGACTATGTTCGTGACTATGTTCGTGACTATGTTCGTGACTATGTTCCTGACTATGTTCCTGACTATGTTCTGACTATGTTCCTGACTATGTTCGTGACTATGTTCGTGACTATGTTCGTGACTATGTTCGTGACTATGTTCGTGACTATGTTCGTGACTATGTTCGTGACTATGTTCGTGACTATGTTCGTGACTATGTTCGTGACTATATCATGAGCACGACTGGACATACATACCATTTCACGAAAGTTCACTTCGTAGATGTTCTTGATCGACCAGCTTATTCCTACCACGATTGGTTGACCTCCTGTGAGGGAAAGAGTTTGTGATAAGTGGAAATAAAATAATATAATATAGTTATTTAGAAAATTATATTACGAATTGTTGAAGGATTAGAGAAGTTTATACCTGAACAACGTTTCGCTCAGTAGAGTAAAACGTGTTCTACAACTTGTATTTTTGACCTCGTTTTGTATTTTCTAGGCCTATTAAAACAGTGTTCCTTTTATTGCTAGATATACTGAGTGAGCAGTTCAGATCAAGGTGAAGATCAAAAGGATCTCTCCCCATCCTTCACTAACTTAGTTCACAGTGCCGGTAAGAGTAACGGTGAAGGTGAAGATTAATTCGTCAGGAAACAAAGTTATGTATCCTGACTTAGTGTATCCTCAGTGTCTCCTGACACAGTATACCTGAAATACTCTTTCATAACCCAAGATCTGACATCGATGTCAAGCACATGATGTCCCGTTCAGTGGTTACAAAAGCCAGCTTACACCAGCTGGCTTTTACATCCCATTAAAAACACAAAGGATCACTACTTACTTATTCATCCTAAAATAAGATCCTCATTGTATTTTCCACTACCAGATGTTATAGTTATTTCTCACATTTTGCAATAAAATCAATAAATTATTAGATTTTATTGTCATTTATTTTACAGAACTCGTCATATATTATGTTCATATCAAATGTCTCTAATATTTATTGGATTCTATTTCTCTGAAATTTTACCATAAATCAGTAATGTGTGTTACACTTCCCTGCTACACTCACAATTATTATTATTACTACTAGTAGTAGTATTAATGTGTTGAAAAATAAGCGATAAACTCATATGATCCATACAACGCCAAATTCTGTTGCTTAAAGTACTTCCTCTGAATCAACTGAGGATGCCACGAGTCAATAACTTCTTGAAGGTCCTGCGTCTCCTTAATGGATCTTAGGATATCCTAATCTTAGGATATCCTGTCCTAGGATATGTAATGTGTTTATCTTGGTATATATTTGCTGAGATTATCCAGACTTTAGTGATTTAGGTATTATTAAGTGGTAGTGAACATGTTACAGGAAGCCTTAATTAATGACCCTCGTGTAGTCTATAGAGTTATAACCTAATTACTATCTAAACACTGTAGTCTGTGACTTTATATACACCGACGGGTGTGTATGTCTCTGTATATACATTGATAGTTGATTTTAATCTTTATTTTAAACATTAAATTAATCTTAACTGGAGACACAAAGGGTTACATGCAGCTTGAATGACTCGTGTAAATGATAGGATTGAAACTCAGTAAACCAACCAACCATTGTGGCGGTATTTATTGTGAAAAGCCTGTCAGTGTCTGTCTAGTGGATTTCTCAGAGTATCTTCTGTATACTGTGACAATGTTATCCTACTTCCTTGCACTTCAAGTATCCCGAGGTAAAGTTTATACACTCTTGCCCTCGTAGCTTCCGTTTTTCATTTGTGTAACTGGTCGTGTTATGAATCTTTGAATCATATCTCCGTGTTTACCTGGCAGGGGCTCCGTGTTCTAGGTGCTGTGTGCTCTAGGTGCCGTGTGCTCTAGGTGCCGTGTGCTCTAGGTGCCGTGTGCTCTAGCATTGCTCTGATGTACGTTAAGTAATGGGTCGTGATTCCGGTTTTGTACCAGATTCTGAATATTATTCGCATGTTTGCACGTGAGAGGGAGGTAGGGAGGGAGAGGAGGGAGAGAGGAAGGGTGAGAGGGAGGGAAAGAGAGAGAGAGAGAGAGAGAGAGAGAGAGAGAGAGAGAGAGAGAGAGAGAGAGAGAGAGAGAGAGAGAGAGAGAGAGAGGAGAGGGAAGGAGAGAGAGCGTGCTTCAGCCATGGAATGTTTTTAGTCAACAAACGCATCACGAAACCACATCGATCGTCCAATATATACCTTCCTCCCCCCCCCCAACTTGTAGTCGTAAATGAACAACAGCAACACCGCAGTGACAGCAACAAAGGAATAAACAACGAACAGAAACACTACTGTGACAAAAAAAAAAGAAATGCATATAATCAATTTACGCTTCCAAGACTCAGGACATATAACGAACCAGCAATACAGAGATTCATTAATATATCATCCTGACTCGCGACAACACTAGCGCCTTCATCAACATCAAAATCACGCAATGAACTCAACGTCTATTAAGAAGTATGTCAGCCCAGTATTATTCACGGAGAAGCGGTAAAACCCTACGGGGGTAAAACCCTACGGGGGTAAAACCGTACGGGGCTTTCTGCATGTACGCTTAAATATCACCCATCTCTTTACAAACACTATATCATGCTGAAACAGACACTTTAAACTTAAACACAGCTGCAGGAATGGGAGATAATCAGGTCTGATCCGAGTACACGGAGAGTAGCTTCAGTTCTTAGGATCAAGAGCTATTCACCACTGGTAGGTCATACTGCTTAAAATATTACTCAAAGATTCTTGTTTATTTTTTTTAGACAAGAATATATTGTTCCGTAGTCTATATTAGTCAGTCCAGTATATTACCTAGTGTTTCCTGGCGCCTTTGTAACATCATCCATACGAGTTTAGCTTTTGTTTTTGAGTATAATATTCAATCCTTCCAAAAGTGTTGAGAGAGATTTATCGAAAAAAATTTAGTTTTCCATTAGTTTGTCACCTAACAAACATATACAATGGATAACTTTGAATTTATTGTTGCCTAATATATGTTGTATACGAGTAATTGTACTTATAAGAAGCGAACATATTCACATTTTCCCAAATATACCTTTGATAAATGGTCATACGCCTATTGTACCTATTATATGTATAAGAAGTGAGTATCAGCATGGAGAATCTGCGAGGAATGAGCAGTGACACTTTTACGTGTGTTGCATGCAAATAGTATGTACCCTTTTTTCAGAGCATGTGAACACACTCATAAAGGCTACCTCCCAACCAGTGACCCAGGTAGCTAAGAATTTGATGATTTCGGGGACCCATCGTCAAATCAGCACCTAGGTTCAGCCAATGAGAAGGTGGTTCTGGCAATTGTGTAGGTGACGTGGTTACCACTCACATTTTCACCCTTGTCATTTCCATTCGAGAGCTGGTTGAAGCACGGTCTGTTCTCTAGTGGCATCTATTCTGCCTTGATTACCGTGGCGTGCACTAATACCTACCCCTGTACTTCCGTTCATAGTTGGTGAAGGAAAATATAATTCAAAGTTTTTCTGCTGTATTTATTTTGCTCCCTTTACACACAGGATAACAGGCCTTTGAATTCCTGGGTTGTAATACCGTGTCTGGTAAACTCACTGATTGGTGAAGATATATCTTAAAACTTTTCCAATTCCCTGAACACATATGATATCCTTACACAGACACACACACACACACACACACACACACACACACACACACACACACACACACGTATGGAAGACGGCAAATGTAGTTCCCATTTTTAAAAAAGGAGACAGAAAAGAGGCACTAAACTATAGACCTGTGTCATTGACGTGTATAGTATGCAAAATTATGGAGAAGATTATCAGGAGGAGAGTGGTGGAGCACCTGGAACGGAACAGGAGTATAAATGCCAACCAGCACGGATTCACGGAAGGCAAATCCTGTGTCACAAACCTTCTGGAGTTTTATGATAAAATAACAGAAGTAAGACAAGAGAGAGAGGGGTGGGTTGATTGCATCTTCTTGGACTGCAAGAAGGCCTTTGACACAGTTCCTCACAAGAGATTAGTGCAGAAGCTAGAGCATCAGGCGCATATAACAGGAAGGGCACTGCAATGGATCAGAGAATACCTGACAGGGAGGCAACAACGAGTCATGGTACGTAATGATGTATCACAGTGGGCACCTGTGACGAGCGGGGTCCCACAGGGGTCGGTCCTAGGACCAGTGCTATTTTTGGTATATGTGAACGACATGACGGAAGGGTTAGACTCAGAAGTGTCCCTGTTTGCAGATGATGTGAAGTTAATGAGGAGAATTAAATCTGATGAGGACCAGGCAGGACTTCAAAGAGACCTGGACAGACTGGACACCTGGTCCAGCAAATGGCTTCTCGAATTTAATCCTGCCAAATGCAAAGTCATGAAGATAGGGGAAGGGCACAGAAGACCACAGACAGAGTATAAGCTAGGTGGCCAAAGACTGCAAACCTCACTCAAGGAGAAAGATCTTGGGGTGAGTATAACACGAGCATGTCTCCGGAAGCACACATCAATCAGATAACTGCTGCAGCATATGGGCGCCTGGCAAACCTGAGAACAGCATTCCGATACCTTAGTAAGGAATCATTCAAGGCACTGTACACCGTGTATGTCAGGCCCATACTGGAGTATGCAGCACCTGTTTGGAACCCGCACTTGATAAAGCACGTCAAGAAACTAGAGAAAGTACAAAGGTTTGCGACAAGGTTAGTTCCAGAGCTAAGGGGAATGTCCTATGAAGAAAGATTAAGGGAAATCGGCCTGACGACACTGGAGGACAGGAGGGTCAGGGAGACATGATAACGACATATAAAATACTGCGTGGAATAGACAAGGTGGACAAAGACAGGATGTTCCAGGGAGGGGACACAGAAACAAGAGGCCACAATTGGAAGTTGAAGACACAAATGAGTCAGAGAGATAGTAGGAAGTATTTCTTCAGTCATAGAGTTGTAAGGCAGTGGAATAGCCTAGACAATGACGTAGTGGAGGCAGGAACCATACACAGTTTTAAGACGAGGTTTGATAAAGCTCATGGAGCGGGGAGAGAGAGGACCTAGTAGCAACCGGTGAAGAGGCGGGGCCAGGAGCTAGGACTCGACCCCTGCAACCACAAATAGGTGAGTACAAATATGTGAGTACACACACACACACACACACACTTTCAGTGACTTCTCTCTGCCTTCTTTCCTGTGAAAATGTTTTCCAGCAGATCTTATTTGAATAAAAAAAAAAGCTGAAAAATCCTTATTCAATAAAGTGAAACCCCGTACGTATATCATTCCATTTATTCCATACCTACGACAGTTATATCATTATGCAACTCAGTAAATTCTGATAAAATCTTTAGAAGAATAAATTCGTTTATTTTACGAATTACGTATTTTTATATATAAATGACCATAATACCGAGAGGCTTTAAACCCATCTGGGTTATTCCTTACAAAGAGAAGGAACGCTAGATGGCGTTGATGAGCTCCTGGTCAAAGGAACTGGAGCTACCCTACTTTTCCAAGGATCAAACTTGATGACCTCCGTTTTCCAGGTGTTGTGGGTCCACTACTGCATCTCCGCTGCCAAACTCATTATAACAATTTAGGCTTTGTGTCTCGTTGTGGTGACTCACTCATCACACACTGCCAACAAGTGTAGTGTTGGCAAGTATCATCATTCATAACAGTGTTGGCAAGTATCATCACTCATAACAGTGTTAGCAAGTATCATCACTCATAACAATGTTGGCAGTATCATCATCATAACAGTGTTGGCAAGTATCATCACTAATAACGTGTTGGCAAGTATCTTTCATATAACAGTGTTGGAAAGTATCCTCACTCATAACAGTGTTGGCAAGTATCATCGCTCATAACAGTGTTGGCAAGTATCATCACTCATAACAGTGTTGGCAAGTATCATCACTCATAACAGTGTTGGCAAGTATCATCGCTCATAACAGTGTTGGCAAGTATCATCACTCATAACAGTGTTGGCAAGTATCATCGCTCATAACAGTGTTGGCAAGTATCATCACTCATAACAGTGTTGGCAAGTATCATCGCTCATAACAGTGTTGGCAAGTATCATCACTCATAACATTGTTAACAAGTATCATCACATAATACACTAAATCAAAATACTATATGCTGCAGAAAATGTTAAGATTATAAATTACAGCCAGCCTACGGCACCATTCAACAATGATATTAGTCTGTTATTCATGAATTCATTCAATAAACCAAGGCCTTAAATAACTGTGAAGTGACCGGTAGAATATATTAGTTGTAGCCCCACGGTACTCATCTACCTGAGAGTTTTTGTCGAGGCTACAGGCCTACTGGAGCACAACCTACACATCTCTGCCTCAGCACCTGTTGGAGAACTACATCTAACCGGAGTACCGCTATCTCCTCGATGATGATGACTTTGAAATGATGACCAGAAATCAATTTGCCTTGAGGTTATAATGACTCACGAAATCGTAATGACACGATTGCAAACAAACCATACCCCGGCCGGGATTGAACCCGCGGTCAGAGGATCTCAAAACTCCAGACCGTGGCTAGCTGGTCTAGTGGCTAACGCGACGGTCTGGAGTTTTGAGACTCTCTGACCGCGGGTTCAATCCCGGCCGGGGTATGGTTTGAGGTTATAATTTCCAGGAGGTAATATGTCCAGGAGAGAAGTTTCCCACGCAAAACATGATCCATGTTTCACACTGACTTAGTGCCTAAGTTGAGGCCTTCAAATTGAGCACAAAACTTATTAACTGTATATAAAACTTAATTTACTTATTGTAAATTGCATTGTATAACACCTCAGACTCACCTGTACACGGCACATCAGACTCAGGTGTCTATGGAAGACAACAGGGGACACTAAGACCTGGACATTGCCTGTAGGAGGTGTAACGAAGGCGTTACCTGGTGGTTGTGGCTCCTCGGTGATGTCGTAGTCTGGAGGCAGCAGTTTGCTTACACTAGCACCGGCACCGCCGTCCACACAACATATCCTGCAGGGAGCAGACGAAGGTGATAACGAGGAGTTACAAACTAGAGGAAACACTTACCTGCTGGTACATTAGACTTTAAAAAAAGAGGGAACAGGGATGACAGGCTAAGCATACAGCCTTCTTATGTGGTGCTCCTTGCTTGAACTCAAGTAACTCAAACACCACCACTCACTATAAGGTGACCTGGTGATGAGAAAAGGTAAAAGGTAGAAGCTGGACCTTAACCCACGAAAACGTAGTTAAGTGCATACAAACACACAATAACACAATATTGCCAGATGTGAACATATAATGCATAACACTTGCAATATATGTGTAGTTAGATAATCCCAGAACTGCCTTCAGAAAGTTCAGTAAAGAATCTTTTAAAACATATGTCAGGTCCATACACAACATATGTCAGGCCCATACACAACATATGTCAGGCCCATACACAACATATGTCAAGCTACATACTTCAGACCCTCACCTAGTCAACCATGTACGAAAACTCGAAAAAGTCCAGATATTTGCAACAAGACTAGTCCAGGAGCTAAGGCGCTTGGATTATGAGGTGAGACTAAAGGACTAGAGGAGACATGATTACGACATACAAGATACTCAGATGATTTGACCGGGTAGAAAGGGGCACTTCTTGAAATAATTATAGATGGAAGCTAGGGACACAGATGAGTCACGGGGATGCTAAAATATATCTTCCCAGTCTTCAGGGCTGTAAATAAGTAAAATAAGTTAGATGAAAACGTAGTACAGCCAAAAAATAAAGAATAGTTGTGATAGGGACCATGAAACCAGGAACCAAAAATGCCGACGACTGCAAAATTAAGAGGCGGTGCCAGGAGCCGAGACTCGACCCCCGCAAACAGAACCTGGTGAGTACAACTCAGTGAGTACACGTATTACATATCTCTTGTCATCCCTCCATCCACCACTCCCTCAATTCTCTGCTTCTTTTACGTTTTTCCCCTCACTTCACCTTCCCTTCCCTCACTCTCCCACTTCCCCTCGCCACAAGCAGTGGGTCTCATGTGAAGACTGTCATCACCAGCCATAATGAAGGTTGCAAGCCCTTGATAAATCAGAAAATTGAGCTGCAACCAACTCATAGCTACATTGATCCCAGAGTGATAGAAGACTGGTCGCTGTCATTATCCAGGTGCTACTCCTACTGTTGCTACTTTCTGTTGTTTTCTGCTACTACTATACTACTACTTTCTGCTACTGCTACTACTACTACTACTACTACTACTACTTGCTACTACTACTACTACTGCTACTGCTACTACTACTACTACTACTACTACTACTACTATATTACTACTACTACTACGCTACTACTTACTACTACTACTACTATTACTACTACTACTACTGCTATACTACTACTACTACTACTTTCTACTACTGCTTTCTACTACTATACTATACTACTAATTACTACTAATATACTACTGCTACTACTGGGTCTACCCACTACTACTACTACTAATACTACTACTACTACTACTTCTAATACTACTAAATAACTACTACTACTACTACTACTACTACTACTATACTAATACTACTACTGCTACTACTGCTTTCTACTACTACTACTGTTACTGCTACTACTACTACTACTATACTACTAATAATAATAATAATAATAATAATAATATAATAATAATATTACTACTACTACTACTATGCTACTACTACTATACTACTATTACTACTACTACTACTACTGCTACTTTTCTACTACTACTACTACTTACTACTATACTATACTACTACTACTACTTTATACTACTATACTGCTATACTGCTACTACTACTACTACTGCTACTGCTACTACTCTACTAATAATAATAATAATAATAATAATAATAATAATACTGCTACTACTACTACTACTATTACTATACTACTACTACTGTACTACTACTACTACTACTATACTACTATACTACTACTATTTCTAACTACTACTACTACTGCTACTACTACTACTACTACTACTATATACTACTAATACTAATACTTTACTACTACTATTACTACTACTACTACTACTACTGCTGCTACTACTTACTATACTACTAAATACTACTGCTATATACTACTATATACTACTACTACTGCTACTACTACTACTTTCTACTACTACTACTATTACTACTACTACTACTACTACTACTACTCTAATACTACTATACTATTACTACTACTACTACTGCCTACTACTACTACTACTACTACTACTACTACTACTACTACTAATTTCTAATACTACTACTGCTATACTACTACTAATACTACTACTGCTACTATTACTACTACTACTACAAAACTAATATAAATTTTAATACTACTACACTACTACTATACTACTCCCTATTTACACTATACTACTACTACTACTCCCTACAACTCCACTGCTACTACTACTACTCCCTTTTCTACTACTACACTTTACTATATTTACTATACTACTACTATATATTTATATACTATAACTACTAAAACTAATACAAATACTATACGGTTTACAAATACTACAAATTTACTATACTGCAAACTACTATACTACAAACTACTACTACACTGAAATTAACTACAAAATACTACACATATTATTATACAAAATACTACTATACTACTACTACTACTATACTACTATTACAATACTACTACTGCTACTACTACAACAAATCTATACTACTAAAAACTACTACTAATACAAAATACTACTACTGCTACAACTACACTAATACACTACGGTTTACTATTACAAATACTACTACTACTACAAATATAATAAATACTATTTACTACATACACACTACAAACTACTACAAATACTTACCCCAAAATACATACTACTACTACTACTCTATACTACTACTACTAAAATTACTACACTATTACTACAAACTACTACAAAAACTACTACACTATTTCAAACTACTACTACTACACTACTATTACTTTTTTCTGAAATTTGGAAAAAAAAGGAAACCCAAGGGAAATAAGTCATTTTGGGAACTTTTGGGGGGGGTTTTTTATCCTGGGAAATTTAATTATGTAAGATAACTGTAAAATGTTACCTTTTCCCTAAAAAAACTTACACCTTTAAAACAGAGTGAGCATTAACTCTCTGGAAACATAAAAAAAAACGAATGAAAAAAATTATAACGGGAATATAACTGAAAGAATGAGAAAATATAATTAAGTTTAGAAATCCTTTCAAACCCAAAAATAAACAACGATTTTTAAAATTGGGGAAAGGAAAAAGTTTAAAGACGTTTTGGCAAAAAGGTTGTAGAGAACTAGCACACGCCAAAAGGCGTTAATTAAAAACATAATTTTTAGTAATTTCAAAATAATTTTTTTTTTGCGATTTCCCCCCTTTATAATTTAAAAATAAAATAAAAATAATAATAATAATAATAATAATTAAAAATAAAAATTAAAAATAAAAATAATAATAATAATAAAAAATAAAATAATAATAAAGATAATTAAAAAAAAATTTAGCTTTGGGGGTGAAAATAAAAGAGCTAACGAAGTTTTCTTCCTTTCCCCACGCGTAAGCTTCATCAGTCCCCATTCACAGTTCATTTTAGTATTGGAACGGTGTAAAAATGGAGAGGTAATTTTAGGGGTTCAGTCCTTCAGCCCTTTAAGAGAGTGTTCAGGGCCCCCACCTTAAAAGAGGGTGTTCAGTTTTTTCAGCCTTATAGAGGGGGTTCAGTCTTTAGCCCTTTAAGAGGGTGTTCAGTCTTTCAGCCTTGATAGGTGTTCAAATCCCCTTTGCCCTTTATAAAGGGGGGTTTAGTCCTTCGCCCGGGAAAAGGGGGGTTCAGCTTTCAGCTTGGGTAGAGGATGTTCCCCGTTTTTAAAACCTTTATAGGTGTTAGTCTTTTAGCCTTTATAGAGGGGGTTCGTCTTTCAGCCCCTTTATAGAAAAGGGGTTTAAATTTCCCTTTAGCCCTTTTAAAAGGGATGTTCTTTTTTCGCCTTGATAGAGATGTTCAGTCTTTAAACCTTAATAGAGGGTGTTCAGTCCCTTTAGTCTTTATAGAAAGGGGTTTAGGTCCTTCACCTTAATAGAAGGTGTTCATCTTTCAGCCGGGTAGAAGGGTTTTTCAGTCCTTTTACCTGTTTGAGGGTGTTTTTAGTCCCTTCCCGCCTTGATAAAAATGTTTACCCCTCAGCAATGACGATGGTGTTCACTCCCCCTCCTTCCGAAAGTTGTTCAGTTTTCCCCAGCATTTTTAAAAATATTGATTTTTAAAAGGGGGGGGACGGGTAAGGGCCCTGGGGGGCCTCGGTTTATATGACCCCTAAGCTTTCATCAGGGGGTCATCATCTGACTTTAAAAACCCCCCTCAGGGGAAAAATTTTCCTGTTTCCTGGGGAATCTTTCCTAACCTCACCCTACATTGAAGGGGTTCAGTCCCTGAACAAAAAGTAAAGACCTGGGGACAAGAATTAATACCTAAGTCACAGGAAGAAACAAGATGGGAATATTGTCCCATTAACGGGCTCAATTTTTTAAAAAATGTCTTCTTATTCACAAGGGGTTTTTGAGGTTTTAAATTTTTTTCCCACAAATTTTATTGGACAAATAAAAATTTCGGGAAAACCCTCAACTTTGAAAGACCCAGCAAAAAAATTTTTATTTTTTATTATTATTTTTTATTAAAAAAATTTTTATTTTATTATTATTATTTTTTATTTTTAAATTTTTATTGTTGTTGTTGTTGTTGTTTTTGTTGTTGTTGTTGTTGTTGGTTTTGTTATTTTGGGGTTTTTTTGTTTTGTATACAGGGCCCAAACCCGCAGGGAAGGGATAAAGCAAACCCAGCGAAAATGGAGGGGAATTTTGAATGATCCAAGGGAAGGGGGGAGCAGCTCCAATTTCCCTTGGGAAACAAGAATCCCTTTTCCAAAAAGAAAAAAAGGGGAAAAAATTTAAAATGAAATAGGGGTAATGAGGGGAAAAACCCGACAAAGAAAGGGAAAGGGGTAAAAATTAAAGGTTTTTGGGAAATGGATCCAACAAGGTTAAAAAAAACGAATCAAAAATTTTTGAAAGTCTTTAGGGGTTGTGTGGTTTAAATGGGCTAATAACCTAACCCATTTTTCCGAGGGTCAGTAAGACTTCTATCACCCGGTCACCAATTTATAAAATACTGTAATTCTTTTAGATACCTTTTTAAGTTCGAAAAAGTTTTTCTTTCCAGAAAACCGGGATTTGGGTCAGGGTTTTCTGCTGTTTTCTTGGGTTTAAACCCGGGTGTTTCTGTTGGGGAACCCGCTGGCCTACATACCCACAAACCAAATTGAAATTTCCATAGAGTTATTTATCCATCCTCTTTTAAAAATTTCACTTGTCCCCCTGTGTTTTTTGTTTTTTTTCTGCTAAGATGTTGAACAATCTAGGACTACGGATGTTGATACAGTGTTCTCTTACTGTGCCCATGGTGCCCCTGTTTTTCACTTGGTTTATTTTACACTTCCATATTTCGTACTCCAGTATGTTGTTATGACAGCGTGCATATTTGGGACAAAAATAAATTCCCAGCATATATACACTGAGAAAATATATACCTCTCAGTGCATATGATTGTGCCTTTGTGAACTAAGAGAAGAAAGATTGTCAATGAAACGGTCAAATACCTCCTAACGTGAGTCTTGTACACCTGGCTGAAGCCTTTCCCTGGCTTACCAGTCCTTCTAAAATTTAAGGATGTAAAGTTATAATTTAAATTATGAGAAGTTACGTAAGATTCATCAGGAAGAAAATAAATGGCATAAAATACCGACACAATGGAAACAAAAACACATATGCAGTTTAATGTGATCCTTTATTGACAACGTTTCGCCCACACAGTGGGCTTTTTCAAGTCACACACAGATCTACCTGACTATGAAAATTCCCGTACCTTCCACCCCAGGTAGATCAGTGCGTGACTTGAAAAAACCCAGTGTGTGGGCGAAACGTTGTCAATAAAGGATCACATTAAACTGCATATGTGTTATGTTTCCATTCATCAGGAA